ATCAAAGAACCAGGTCGTCTGCATACAATGCGGCATGTGTTCCTTTGGGCAGTTCTTTCATGAGGTCATTGATGAAGAGGATAAAGAGCAAAGGTGACATGACTCCACCTTGGGGTACTCCTTGTCGCAGCAGCATTTTCCGTCCTTGATATCCATCCACCAGCAAAAGTGCTCTTCTGTTGTGTAGATAGGACTTGGTCCATAGGTACATGTTGCCTTGGATACACACTTCTAAGGAGCTTGACTTGTAGACCCTCCTTCCACATCTTGTCAAACGCTTTTTGTAGATCAACAAATGTTGCTAGCATCACTTTCTGTGCCTGGAGGGAGTCCTCTATTACTTGGGACAAGTATGTTGTTTGGTCCTCTGTGCTCCTGAACTGACGGAATCCAGCTTGTTCTGGTACAAGGATGTGTTGTGCCTCTAGGTACCACTGCATTCGGCAAGCTATGATGCGCTCCATTGTCTTACATACACAGTTTGTGAGGCTGATAGGTCTATAGCTTAATGTTTGTGCCTTACTTTTCCCTGGCTTGAGGATCGGGATCATTGTTGCTTCTTTCCAGCACTGAGGTACTTGCCCTTTTTTCCAGCTTAAGTTGAATATATCCAGTAGAGTCTGTAACGCTGTGTTGCCCAGGTGTCGTAGCATTTCGTTTGTAATTTCATCGGGGCCTGGTGATTTTCTTTGCTTCAGTTGATTTATTGCTTTCTTCAGCTCTTCCATGGTGATGTCCTTCTCCATTGCTTCCGGGATGTTATTTGTACTTCTTTTTCTTCTTTCCTCTTGTCTGACTTCTTTTTGTCTCTCTCTCTCTCTCTCTCTCTCTCTCTCTCTCTCTCTCTCTCTCTCTCTTGGTATTTTGATGTTGCTCTCTTGAGCATATGCTTTTACAAAGGTATGTGCTGCCCATTTCTTCATTTCCATCTCTCCTTTAACTTCTAGAGTGATCTTGGCACTTTTATTTCCTTCGTCGTTTAGCCCCTTTACAAGCCTCCATAGTTTTGTGGTGTCCTTTTCGAGGTTAAGTTTGTGCGTTTTGTCTCTCCAGCTTTTCCTGGTGCACTCCAATTTGGTTTTGAGATAGTGGACTTTACACCTCTATAGCTTGTTGTTGTTTTCAATCCCTGGATGTGATTCGGCTTCTTCTCTGGCCTTGATGAGGTCGTTATGTGTTTTCTGGAGTTCTGGCGTCCAGTATGGGGTGTAATTTTTCCTTACCCCTCTAGATATGGTTTCTTTTGCTGACTTAAGGATGTTTTCATTGAACTCTGTGATGGCATTGTTTATGTTTTTGGTCGAAGACTGCGATGTTCTTTGTCAGCTCATTAGTTCTTATGCTGAAAAGTCTCCAGTCTGCTTTTTTGTAGTTCCATCTCGGCCTTTTCGGGCTGTCCTCTGGCAGTCTCTCTACTATGGTAAGAAGAACAGGGCGATGGTCACTTCCCCCAAGCTGGGTTTCCACTTTTCTACTTAAATGTCTGTGCAAGTTTTCTGTGCAGAGTGCTATGTCTGGAGTCGTAGTTGAATGCCAAGCTCGAGAATAAAATGTGGGTTGATCTAAAGGATCATTCACAAGCAGAAGATGGTTTTCATCTTGCCAAGCTTCTATTTCTTCTCCTCTCCTATCTAGTCTGTTATATCCCCAACTCTGGGACTGGCTGTTGAAATCTCCAGCGATGATAAAGTCTGTGTCTGGGACTTCTATGGTTTCTAACACAAGATTTTTATCGTTTGGACAATAATAGTTCACTAGATCCAGATTCCCTCTTCTGGTGGTGTTCCTGTTGTGGATATATTCAGCTTCTCCTGTATATTTCTTGATTTCAATGGTATTTAGGTTATTTCTTACCAGGGTCAATACTTCTCCTTTTTTTCTACCTTGGCGATCGTTTCAGAAGCACTGGTATCCTCTTACCTTAAAGCTTGCCTCCTCCTGCAGGTGTGTTTCCTGTATACAGCTGATGTGTATTTCATTTTCTTTTAGAAAGTTTTCCAGCTCTGTTTTCTTGTTTGAGATTCCTTCGGCATTCCAGTGCATGGTATTAAGACTTTTCTTTACCTGTTTTGTGTTTGTGTTACCAGTCGCTTTTCTCCCTCGTCTACTGGCACTCCAAGACGATGGAAGGCCCTCCGGTCGCTGGGGTGGACCCCTTCAGGGCTTGGGGCCCGGCACTGCACCTGCCTGGTGGGTCCTCACAGGGCGAGCACCATATCTAACGTTACCTACTTCAAGTGTCATATATTGCAGTATTACGTGGTGTTGTGGTTCTCTAGAGTGCGCCTTGCGGCCCAATACCTCCGATTTCAGCACTCCAGCTCCAGGTCCAAGGACCTACCATGGGAGCACAGGGAGGAATTGTTACCGGATCCCACCCGTAGCCAGGACTTAATGCGGTCCTTTTCCGCATGATGCTCCCGTCAGAGGACTCCTATGGCATTTAATGACGTGGTAGCGCCACCTACCACCTCACCCCATCCTGGTAAGAGCATCGCCAGTTGGTCCAGGGCTGCTTATTCAACATATTTACAGCTAACCTCCATTACAGTGGCCGTTCCCTATCCGCCACCTGGGACCCGCCGGGTCGGGGATGGTCGCCCCAGCCCTGAGTGCGAGCAGTGAAGAGAATGGTAATGCCAAGCAGACCGAACGGTGAAGAGAACGGGAGTCCTTGTTGTTGGACTTGTGGATAGTATTCAACTTGAGACTGAAAAGAAAACAATCTGACAGGTCGGTGTTATTGTAAGTTGCATAATTTTCTGGGGAGTCCAAACAAGCGGTTGGCATTTTTTTTGTTTTTGTACAAACAAGAGGTTCACTTAGTCTCAGAGGCATCGGTTTGCCGGACATTGCCTAAATTATGCCCATAGGCCAGTTCGTCCTTGCCACAGAAAAAAAACAACTTCCCCTCCCCTCCCCTCGCCCCTCTTTACGTTTATATTTAGCTCAGCTCGGCGGTTCGCAAACGTGTTATTATCATATTCTTACCGGCATCTAATCTCATATCCCACGGCATCTAATCTCATATGGACACAATTTGCAGTTTCAGAATTATAGAGTTCTATCTGACATTTTTGGCCAGGTGCTCATCAGCTTTTAAGTATACTCTTAAAGCCTATTTATTTGCCTTGTTGGGGATTTAAAAAATACCCCTCTATCTTGAATAGACATCGAGATGTCTGCAATTGAAAGAGGAAGGGATCACTTGGTGCCAGAGGAGAAATTATCTAAAAATGGCCGCCTAAGTTTGGTGACGTCCAAAGCTATTATTATAGTATCTTTGACACTGTAACGTTTTTGTGTGCCTTTGATGAACATGTTTCAGTACAATACACACAAGAATGTGTTTAAAGATTTTAAATGAACGTGAAAGGAGCATCCCCCCCCCCCGCAAATTAAAAAAAAAAGAAGAAAATTTCAAAGAATAGCTTAACAGATCCACCCCCCCCCCCCCACACCTCAAAAGAAAAATAAAAGATTGGAAAAAGTGACAGTTTCTTCAACTTTATTATTTTCACGAGCGCTTGGTTTCACCACGATGCCACGCAATTTAAGGAACGTAGTAGGCAATTACAGTTTACTCATTGAAGACTCGCTTACAACACACACACATACACACACACACACACACACACACACAAACACACACACACACACACACACACAAACACACGCGCACACACAGACATACCCGCAGAGGGAAAGAGAGGGAGAGAAGGAGAGAGATAGAGGAGAGAAGGAGAGAGATAGAGGAGAGAGAGAGAGATAGAGGTGAGAGATAGAGGAGAGAAGGAGAGAGATAGAGGAGAGAAGGAGAGAGATAGAGGAGAGAGAGAGAGTTAGAGAGAGAGAGAGAGAGAGAGAGAGAGAGACAGACAGACAGACAGACAGACAGACAGACAGACAGACAGACAGACAGACAGACAGTCAGACAGACAAAGGAAGGGATAGAAAAGGAAGGGAGGGTGAATAGGGAGACAGAGGGGGAGAGAGAGGGAATAGGACGGAGAGGAAGAGTTGCTGTGTATTTATTTACTTACTTATTGATTGATTCATTGATTGATTAACTGATTGATTGATTGATTCATTCATTTATTTATGCATTCATCTATTTCCCTTTTAGCTGTCTGTATTGGGGATACGTTATGTATTGTGAATCGCGGTTGTTATTTCTAAATTTATTTAAGATAACTCTACACATTCTGCTGTCCCCGTGGTTTTATGCACCCCGTATAATTTAGCATAATTTGGTCGTTGTATGCATAATTTCTGATATTTTCTTTTATAGTTTTTTGTTAACATTAACATAATGGCATAATTTCACATTTTTGGGCTCATTTTGCATAATTGCAGAAATTGTTTTGCTTAAAACCGCGGGGACAGATTCTATTCCATTCTATTATATATACAGAACGCCATTAAAAACGCAACGTTTTCAAAAAGTTACAAAAAAGCCAATTTTTTAATATGCTCTGATGGTCACGATGCTTGGAGACACACGTGAGTAGTTGTTAGTCCACGCATCCATCACGACTTTTTTTTGGAGCTAGGGTTGTCGTGACCACCTATTCAAACCCCGTGTCACCCTCACCGACACTTGCTTGACGTAACTTGAGTCTGAACTCACAGCTCACTTAGCCATTGGAGCCCCCCTCCCTCCTCCCCCCACCCACCCCAATCGTAACATCGTAATAGAACATCGTTCATCGCAGAGGGGGAAAATGTATTTTCTCATCCGAAGGACTCGTGCTCATGTGACCATAATACTATTATTCAGTTTTGTAAGCGCCGCGGTAAAACTCTGACCAAACTTAACTCACCTGAGGGGCCCTCGCACGTCCATCCCGGATTGTAGGTGCCAAAGGTCATGAACATCATGCTCCAGGAAGCCACGATCTTGATGGTATACACCGCCACAGACAAAAAGACCTGGAACTGACCACAGCCTCCCACTTCTGCGACAAACTTTTCCAGTTTGGTATCCATGGTGGTCTGATCTGTGGAGACGGTAAAAAAACCCAGCAAAAACTTTATTAGTACAAGAACAAGAACACGAACAAGATCAAGGACAAGAACTTCAACAACAACAACAACAACAACAACAACAACAACAACAACAACAACAACAACAATAATAATAATAATAATAATAATAATAATAATATCATGATGATGATGATAAAAATAATGATAATAATAAACTAGTGTGCTCCTATATGGGAAGCCGACTTTCTATAAAGCTTTAATACTTCGTCATAGACTTTGAAATAATAATAGCCAACATTTTTAAAGCGCAAATTCCCGCTCAGCAGCAAGCTATATAATGTAATATGCGCTTTACATCTTTATTATTACCCCAGTAAAACCCGATAACAAGATAACCCGAACAAGATCAAGGACAAGAACTTCAACAACAACAACAACAACAACAACAACAACAACAACAACAACAACAACAACAACAACAACAACAACAACAACAACAATAATAATAATAATAATAATAATATCATGATGATGATGATAAAAATAACGGTAATAGTAAACTAGTGTGCTCCTATATGGGAAGCCGACTTTCTATAAAGCTTTAATACTTCGTCATAGACTTTGAAATAATAATAGCCAACATTTTTAAAGCGCAAATTCCCGCTCAGCAGCAAGCTATATAATGTAATATGCGCTTTACATCTTTATTATTACCCCAGTAAACCTGATAGCATTTTGCAACAATCTCAACTTCCTGGGAAGCACACTGTTAAAAATATGTATGCGGCATCATGGTGAAATCAGGCACTCGTCAAAATAAAGAAATGAAAGAAACTGGCCCTTTTTCTGCCCGAATGGCAAATTTTATCGAATTTTTTATTCATTCGTGTGTGGATTTTACTGAAAATGTTGATTAAAGACACAGTAATGTAAATTTGCAGTTTCTAAGGACTGTTAATTTAAAGGTTTGGAAGTCTCCAAACTTGGGCAGCCGTTTTCTCTCACTAACTTTACCGCTGAAACCAGGCGATCTCCACCTCCTCTGGGCTCCAGTGGCTAAGTGAGTAGTGAGTTTTGACTCAAGCAATGTCAAGCAAGTGTCGGTGACACGGGGATTAGATGGGTGGTCACTGGGGTGTGTCCTTGAGCAAGACACGACAACCCTAGCTCAAATTACAGGGCGCTGCACAGTGGCGACCAACAGTGGCATTGTTTGTAAACTGTTCTGTATTTGTGTAATAGTGTGTATTTATGTATGTATTTCTGCATGTATGTATTTATGTATGTACGTATTTATAATTATGTATTTATGTATGTATGTTTGCCATTGTAAAACAAAGCGCCCTTCTGGGACAAATTTAAAAAAATGTAATTGTAATTGTATTGTATTTCAAATATCTCGACTTCTATTCATGGTAGATGAACATTTTTTTCACCAGAAGCAAGACAAATGACCAAGCTTTAAAATGACAAATGATTCCCAAGGTAAGAGTTTCAGGATTTTTAAAAATGCACATGTTTTTACACCCACATGGACACAATTTAGATAATTGATGAAGCGAGCTTTCGACATTGTCTGTCTCAGTGTCTGGCAATCCCGGGCTGAGAGAGATACAATGTCTTAAGAAAAAAACAACAACAACTATAGTTTGTTCTTTAATGTTTAAACACTTCGTAGACCTTGACTAGCCTAGTGAGTGAGAGGTCGGCGCAAAATGACAACCGAGATGGAAGGCAAAATGTTAAAAAGAAGACGTTTATAAAGAAGGCGGTATTGGGTTCACTAGATATTTCAACGACAAAATACTTTTGTAGACTTTCGTCACCACAGCGATGAAGCTCTCGACGATGGAGAGAAATGTTATGACTTATGATAGATCTATAAAAATGAAACCTGCAACATTTTCTTTGCTACTGGACAAGGTTACACCCAAAATTTAGAAAAGAAATGAAACCAATTCTCGGAAACTTTTATCACCTAATGAACGTCTTGTGATGATCCTCTGGGAACGGTCCACGATTCTACAGTTATAGCCTACACAGTGCCTAGAATACACTGAAAGCTGTGAGAAAAACGGTAGGTTTTTAGTGCAACCACAAAAAGCGCACGTGCGATTTTTGTCCTGTGAGGGAGTTGAGAGCAGAGAAATTGACGGGAGGTAACCACTGAGGCACCAACACATTATTTTGATAGCGATAAATAATACCTCTCGGGGACCTCACGGGAACTCTCGTCAACGGAACGTTAGGTCACGTGAGAAAGACTGCTTACTGACTTGCGGTGGGGTGGTTCCTGGTTTGGTGGACACGTGGGTTATAAAGACTGACTCAGAGCATACTTCATAAACGCAATGACATGTATACCCAATGTACACTATTGATTATTCGGAACTACTGTCCGCACAACCTTGAAATTAGTTTTTATGTTAGACAATGTATACATGTTTTGCTCTCTGAAACACACTATACAATAACAAGGGTACTATAGGCTTAGTGGTGGTACGCACAAAAAGCAGTCGAGCTGAGCAGTAGCTGCGCAGTAGTTGAGCCGTATTAAATCTGAGTAAAATTATTTATACGCCGTTCACACCAAAAGCAGTAGTAGCCACACCGTATTGAGCGGTGCACAGCTATCAGTGAGCAGTAAAATCCCCGTATTTACTACCGCTCAATGCTAGATCTAGCAGTGATTTCGTCATTTCATAAATTAGCACACCCGAAATTTCCCGCCAAATCTTGCCAAGATATCTCGATCAGCTCAAGACAGCTGGAGACAGCTTCTACATTCTCCTCTTGAAAGCCTGTGCAACAAATCGGGAAAAAAATGGATAGTGCCAAAATGGTAAAGAATGTTTCTGGGCTCATTTTTAAATATGACTTAAAGCGCCCTTCGTCTCCCTTTAAGTCAAGAAACAGGTGATGGAATTCTCCGCATTTGTCTCTTTTGGCATTAATGGGATGAACCCAGCATTCTTTCGCGCCATCAAATACAAGAGACTGTGTCAATAGTGATGAAGTGTCCATAAAATGCATCGAACATAATTTTACGGACCGCCATGTTTATGAACTGTCTCCGATACAAGCAGCGAGCTTGCAGAGAGAGCCAGTACACACTGCTTTAGCACTGCTTTTGGTGAGAACATGCAGGCTAATTCAATACTGAGCAGTGTACGAGCAGCCAGCGAGCTGACTGCTACTGGACAACTTGCCAAAACAGCTGTTGATGCGGGCACTCGAGCCTACTGCTAGAACTGTTCATAGCGGCTCGGCCCAGCTACTGCGCAGCCACCGCTTTTGGTGGGGGCAAACCCTTACTCTGTCACAAGCTGTGGTATTCACCTGTTTGCATTTTTGGCAAACACAAGCACACGAACTCGACATAAACGCGCTCAGGGAGAGAGAGAGAGAGAGAGAGAGAGAGAGAGAGAGAGAGAGAGAGAGAGAGAGAGAGAGAGAGAGAGAGAGAGAGAGAGAGAGAAGCACCCATATAATATGCATCCATGCGTGCACTCACACATACTCACACACACACGCACACACACCCACACACACACGCGCACACACACACACACACACACACACACACACACACACACACACACACACACACACACACACACAGGGAGGCTCTCGTGGCCTAGAGGTTAAGGTGTTGGCCTCTCATTCGAAGGTCCCGGGTTCGAATCCGGGTAGCGACCGAAAAAAATTCTTCCCTAAAATTGTCTCCTTTCACCTCCTTTCCTGCTCTCTAGCAATATTCTTTCGTCTGCTTTCGTCTCCTCTTTCTGCCCCCACCCCCTCACCTTTGCCACCTCCTCTGGGCTCTTGACTCTTTCTGCAGCCTTTCTATTGCTACTCCTTGACTCCTTCTTACAGCTGTATTTCTGCCGCACCCCTGATCTTCTGGTAGGAAAGATCTACACCTAGCCTTCTCGGACAAGGGCAAAAAATCTCGGAGGGCCCGTGTGCAAGTTGCGCACGTTAAAGATCCCTTGGTGGTCTAAAATCGATAAGAGTAGGCTTCGGCCACCAGGGCAAAATTCAAAATTTCCTACCAACTAAAAGTATTAGGTGTGTCCCGCGCCGTAAAACACTTACCAAAAAACAACAACAAAAAAAACGAAAACAACACACATACACACACATACGTGTTTCGAGGTTATTATGTGGACATTGCCCCAGACCTACATTATGTGGACACCACATACCATCTAAAGTTATGGGTGGAATCATTCGATATTTGCAGTGTAAGTGCACGGTACAAAAACAACATTGTCCACCAAATTTAGAGAGACTACCTAAAATTTTAGTCCATTCTTTTCTTTTTACTAATGTTAGTTGGGTATTGCATTATGTGGACTTCATGACCCCCTGACCTTTTGCATGCACAAAGGTACACAAATGGTCCATTATTGGGACTTCCTGAACATAAATAGTTTTAAAGGGCTTTGGATGCCTATAATGTTGATTAATTCACACCTGGCTTGCGGATATCCTGGGATCCATGTGCAACATTTGCTTTGGTGCATTTTCCTATTCTCCTTCCTTCTTTCTCCTTCCTTCTTTCTCCCTTCTTCTATCATTTCTTCCACCGCTTACCCCATGTGCAGCAAAAATAGAGGTCGTTCATCCCACAGTGGGCGCCTCTCGTTGACCGGTAGGTGCGACCTGTGCGGAGGGAAACCGGGTACCTGGTAGTTGAAGTGAGATCAGTCTGCGGACTGTCCCTCGTCAACATACCTCTTTGGCCCAAGTTTTCCTCTTAGACGGGAGGGTGTGACGGCCCAAGCCTCTCAATCGGTTGGGAGCTGAAGCCCCTCCAGTTTATCCTTGGGTCAATCTTGATGGGAGGGTCTAGTACACTTTCGTGGAGAGTATAACCCCAGAGTAGACTGGCTCAGCCCTGGTCATCCGAGCAATGTTTCCCCTCTTTGACTCGGAGGTGGGCGGGGAGCCCCGGAGTCGAAAAGCATTCCAACTTACATTGAATCCCAAAAAACATTCTGACCCA